TATTTGAAGCTGAGGTTGCTTTCCTCTGAGAGATAGATGTGTTTGTGTTTACCTCTATTTAATTTTGTTTGCTGTTTTTATTGTCCACTTAGTCTCATAAGGGTTTTTGTGATTCCATGGACTCTCTGTTATCCTTGGTATCTTAAATTACCCACTGGCATCAGCAAACTTGCAAGTCACTAAAAGTGATGTCTTGATCTTAAGCAATAAAAGAAATGCACTATTTGCTCTGGGCCGCTGGAATCCAGTGGCTTATATATCATGTTTTTGGAATTATTGAGCAAGAGACATTGTTGTAGAGTGCATGTACAGCTTGCAGGCTGAAATTATAGATATGGAGACCCGTGTCTCTTTCTAGATAACTTATTTCATATTCCAGATATGAAATGGTGTCTGTGCTCTCTTGTCTGCAGAGACTTGGGAAGGTTCTGTGTCTGTGTTTTACAGGGGGTTGATGAGCCTGTGTTTTATAATCTCTTTGCTTTTCTGCCTTTTGGGACTTTATAAGTGACCTGAAAACATCATTCCCTAATTATTTGGGCAAAGTTGTCAGCCTGAATATATCAAAACCAAAGAATTTGCACAAATACAGAGTGAAAGTGTACTGACTCTATTGCTCTAAGATGTGAGCAATTTCTTCTGTAACTTGGGTATTTGATTTTCCAAAAGTGCTCAGTAGCCTCACATTTGAGGGATTGCTTTCTTCTTTTATTTTCTCTTAAAAGATAATTCTAAGATAATTTATAATTTTCTTAATAATTCATTATTTTTAGTAGGTAGTGTTGCTTGATGCCTCTCAAAAATACTTTTGTTGCTCAACCCTCTATTGTCTTCCAGGCACAGGAAACTATATTCTGTACTCCTGTAACTACTACTCTTTACTTTTGTGACAGCAATATTAGCATAAACAAGCAGATTAAATAAAGGATGAGATGAAAATAATCACAGTAAGGAATCACCCCTCCCTGCCCTGCTCAGGGCTGTGGAGTGTAATGCTGAGAGCATTGCATGTTGGCTGCCTGCATGCATCATATCAGCTTACAGTCAGCAGCAGAGCCGTGCCATTGGGCAGAACAGTTGGGAATTATTATTTATGCAGTTGTGTGTGCAGCTGCTATAAAGGCCAGGCTGCTTTCACAGCAGCAGGGAGAGCCCTCCTGAGTTTGGACTATGTGTGCTGTGGAGAGAGAGACGCCTGGCAAGGGATACAGGTTAGAGGGAACTGTTACAGTGCACTTCAGGAATGTAGTCTTTCTATCTGATACTTTGGTTGTTTTGGCTTTTTTCCATTTTGATTAATTGATACTGTTTGTGCTATCATTAATCAAATGTTTTCCACTAACGTCTTCTGCCTGTTGATGGCTATTTTCTTTAGCAGTGCCTTTTTTTCCTTTTTTTTTTGAGGAGGAAGTGTGTATAAAGGGAAAGGAAGTCTTCAGTAATTCTTTCTTTCTCCCTAGGGCAAAAGATAAAATACAGTTTTAGATGCAATATTTTCTTTTTAAAACAATAGTGAAATAATATTTTCGTTCTCGTTTGAATTGTTAATGCTGTACATTACTCTTCAGAAAGCTTCCTTTGGTTGGAGAGTGTTTTATTTCTTATTTTGAAATTTATTGTTAAATTTTCTTGTTGGGCAGAGATGAGATTGTTGCCGATTCTTAATACTGTTTCTTCCTAAGGAATGTGGTTGTGTTCTTCAGAAGCACAAAAGTAGTTTTTATCTGCCATACCTGCCTTTGGAGGAACTGGGTGAAGCAGAGCTTTTTCTGCTTGCAGTCACACAATATTGATGTCTCCTGTATTCAGTGCTGAAACCCCATCTTCTTTTTCCTTCCTGGAGAAGGTGGGAGGGGAGAAATTGTCACAGAGAGGCCATAAATTCTCTTTAGGACTCTTAGTAAACAGCTGCTTTTAGAACCTGTAATGCAAATTGATATCTTGTTCTTTTTTTGTGTGACCCATCTGTGTATTTTTCTCAGTTTTTAAACTCTAATGGTGTAAACTTATTTCATTAGGAAAGTAACTCCTAAGGCTTTGTTTCTCTGGAATTAAAACAGAAACAGTGGTCTCTAAGCCTTCTTGTCCGCTGTGTATCTTTAAATCTTTTATTTCTGGAAATGTGGTTCTAACTTTGAGTTTCAGTGAATCAAAAATACTGGTCTTGAGTGTCAAATTTCTGGATATTTCAAAGTAATGCTGTGATGAAACATGAGGATTTATACTTAGCTGACATTGTTGAGTTTTGCTTGCTTCCATCGCTGCTTTGCAGTCGCTGTTCCTGAAGCAAACACTGTGGCATGTTCAGGAACACTGCTCATGGATAAGAAATGCTACTTTGATTCTTTAAGATTTTTTAAGCCTTCTGATGTTTACATTTTTGTAGCAAACTTTCTCACACACTTTCTGTAAATAATTTATTGTTTTACATGCTTTTCTAGAAGAAGAGAGATTTGATAGACCGTTCAGTTGTCCAGTGTCATTGGAGAGGTGGCACTTTCACCCTCCAGTCCACTGTGTCTTTTAGAAAACTCTAAATGTTAGAATCAGAAAATAAACTTCCCTTTTCTTCACCTTGAGAGCAGCAGTGTGTGTGCTCATGTTGTGTCCTGTAGTGACAGTGAAACATTTGAGTTCTCAGAGTCTTGTCACTGCTGCCCCCTGAGATATCTTGATTCCAGTAGAAATGGTTTGTTCTGTAGAAGGCAATGTTAGCCTGCATCTCTTTGAGGCCATGCACCCAGTGGGTTATGTTCTTCTTCCTTGCTGTGATAAACAGATCCAGCGGTGTTTACTGTGCATGCAAACTGGTGTGTGCTGTGTCTGGCTGTGCCAGGTGTGGCAGGGTGGTGACTGTGCTCTGCAGACATGGAAATGGGCACTGCAGGCAGCCAGTGCTGCTGTCTCCGTGCCAGCCAGGGCCACTGCTTGATCTGCATTGCCAGGCAAGGGTGGCAGGCTTTGCCCAAATATGTCACACTCATGTCACTGCTGGTGACCCAGCCCTCCCGGGAGCTCTGACCATCAAAAAGGGATGCTTCTGACTGACTGATTTATCACAGCTCTGTAGTTTTTCTTTGGGATAAATTTTAAATGCAGTCAGCTTCACTACAAACTGTGAAATTTCATTTGGTTATTCCTCAAGTGTGCAATTTATTTATGTCTGTAAAACATCAGAAATAACCCTCAATGGTAAAGATGCCAGTTCTACTAAAGAACTCTATCCTCTTTAGTATTTTTCAGTTTTAGTTTTCAGTTCAATAAGATCAAAAGCACAAGTAAGTGACTCATAAACATGAGAAAGGCAAGAAATAGAAGTGTGGTGACTTAGATGGTAGCCAGTGTTACCATCTGCTTCTGGAATCTAGTAGGCAGTTGTGCCACTTAATATTAGTTGTGTATAATAAACATATTGCCTTCATGGGGCTTTTCTGGTTTGGGTTTTGGTTTTCTAAGGAGTCTCTCATTTCAAATTATCTCTCAGTTATTTAGTCTTCTGTGAAAGTCTTCTGATTACTTGTGGCTATATGGCAGGACTGGTGCATTTTTGACATTGTGATGATGAAACTGCAACAGCAAACAAAGTTCTCTGTGTCTGTTCGTGGCAGCTTTCAGAACTAAAGGAATCTGGAGGCTATAAACAAATATTCTCAGTGTTTTAAGATGAAGCTTCCTGTTGCTTCTGTTAACAGTACTTAGGGATCTGAGGAGGCAAAACTCCTGCAGCTTTACTGACTTGATCAAAGTCAGAATTGAAATGTACTTGTGTGCAGCTGAGATGGTGCTCAGAAGGAAGGAGTGTGTGTAAAGGTACGGTGTTAATTTTGTTAGCTGAAATTATTTCATACTTCTGACCACTGTGTTATGCCAAATGTCTCATGCACACAGCCATCAGTCTGCTTTTTGTGCCTTTGAAATGCTTCAGTTTTAAGAGATGGAAATGACTGGACGTGTTTCATGTTTCCAATCAGCTGTGAGATACTGGGCTGGCATAAACCTGATCACTCCCTTCCACCTGGAATCCCTCAGACTGAAAGTGGAGTGGGGATGTTGTCCTTTTAATCTTCCATCCCATGACATCTGACTCAGGGTGATGAGGAAAACAGCTGCCAGCTCTGCCTCTTGCAGGAGGAGAAGTTCCTGCTGTGTCTGGTCTTTCTGGTAGCCCCTGCTTCAGGTTCTTCCTGTGGCTGTTCTCCTGTCAGTCTGTGCTTCCTTGGAATCAGCTGCTGTTGCTGTAATACCTGCAGTTTTCTGCTGTGGCTGCTCCTGGTTTGGATAAAGCCAGCTTTGCTTTCTGGGCGTTCATCAGTGCCTGTGGGTGGAATGGCAGTGCTGGCAGGCAGGGCCAGGCTGCAGGAGTGTCCCCACTGCAGGCCATGGAGCCCAGGGAGCTGCTTCTGGCTCCTCCCTGCAGGTCACCCTCGGAATCACACCACTCCTGTTACATTTGTGAAGTTCCATGTGTTTATTATTGTGATTTTTAGTAACTGGTTGGAGGGAATCTGAATTTTTCAACTTGTTTGGATTTTTTGTACAGTAAGTTTTTCTCCACAACTGCTGTTTTACTGAGCTAGTTGTAATCTTTTCTCAGATCCAGTGTTGTTGGTAGTTAAGCTGTTGCCTGAATACTCCCACAGTGTTTTCCTTCCCACAGTCAGGAATAAAGGACATTGCTCCCTACTAAGCCTTTCTTTTGCTGGCTAATGAGTGAGCTCAGCTACGTGGGTCACTTAGAAAATATCCTCAGTTCAATGCCATTTGTGGAACAAGAACTTAAAAGAAGAAATTATTATAATTTGGAGTGGAGCTTAGTCCTTAGCAAAAATCCCCTTTAAGAAAAGGCAAAAACCATTGGTCAGTCACATGCATTTTGTTTGGCTCTAATTTGTGGTTTTTGCTGCTCTTCTGGATGTCTGGTCTTAAATAGAACATTATAAAAAAAGACATTGCTTTTCATCTGTATTTTATGTTTAAAGTCTCTTTGTTTCTGCTTGTAGATTTGTTTGTAAATGCATCATAAACAGACAGCCCAGAATGAAGAAAGCAAGCAGGAGTGTTGGCTCAGTGCCCAAAGTGCCTGGAGTAAATAAAGCTCAAACAAGTGAAAAAGCCAAACCAGAAAACGGCTCCTCAGTGTCTGCAGTCACAAAACTCTCCAAAACTGGGACATCAGCATCTCTTTTGAAGGTAATAACCAGTAGAACATTCTGATTATTTGTATTTTTTTAAAATAAAGCTTTAAAAAGAGTAGAATTTCCAGGCCTGTCTTTAATGCAGCTTAGACTGGAGGTTTGCATGGGTAGCTGGAGGGAATGTGGGTAGTTCCAGAGGGCTGGGCAGGGTGACAGGATCTGGTGTGTCATTGATGCTGAACTTCCATTCTGCAGCAGGAGAGGGAGAGCAGGGTGCTGTGCAGCCTTGGCTGCTGTGCAGGAGCAGCAGAGGGGAAGTTGTGCTCTGACCAATGCTATTTGTTTGCTGTTATTATGCTTGGATGGTGTCAGTGACTAATGGGATTTGATAGGAGTTATTTACTAATTCTGAAAAAAGAACTAATGAAGTATCTAACATGAGAACTTCTGTATATATCAGAGATCTGAGTTGGGTCAGTGCAGCTGAGTTCTCCTGGCTGTTTTGGCCTTTGCTTTGTGTTCAAGTACTGCTTGAGCTGAATTTTCACAAGTTGATTCTTGCTCCCAGAACAAGTTCAAAGGTAGAGGTTTTCTCTGAGTGTATGGAGGAGCAAATGGCTTCCAACAAACAATCAGAAACACTGAGGAGTTTTCACCTGGGAGCAGCCACATCTGGGCTGGATGGATGGAATGAGCCTGCTCTGCTCTGTTCTGCTCCTTTTCCTGGCATGGAGACGTGGCTGGATGCAGCTCCTGCTGCATCCAGGAGTGCCTGGCAAATAAAGATCCAGAATTCAAGTGTAGGAGCTGAGGTTTCTCTGTAGAGGGTAACTGAAGTCAAAAGGTGTGTTCCCTGTCTCCTCTTCCTTTTCCTCTGTGGAAGAATGGTTGATACTTTTGCTGATGAACTTGCAAGCCAAGTTTCAGGGAGGTTTTCTCCCAGTGCCCTTCCTTTCTTCCATCACCCAATGCATCTTGCAGTTTTCTTAGCTTTAAATAATCTTTTGATGCTTGTTGACACTACATACTTTATATTTCTAGAAACCTCTCAAAGCAACTAAAGCCCTTTGTAGTTTACTTATCAAGTTTCTTATGTCATTCCTCTGAGGGAGATAAAGGAGGAGGATGATGTAACTGAACAGATTTGACCCAGTATGCTTTCACAGTTTTACTTTTATTAGTAACACTTCTGGCTGTGTTTTGGTGTGGGATTGGAATTCATGACAATTTATGAGTTTGAGGCACAATGAAAATTTTCTTTTGATTACTGAGGCTTATCTCAGGTTTATGTTCAACCAGGCTTACTCACACACTTGGATGTCTTTTATTTGTTATGGTGCTGTTGTGCCAGCTGTGTGACTTAATGATAGTGATGAATCTTCTTTGAGTGTTCTGTACTTATATAACAAAGTTAGTTGTTTCTGGGGCTTTTTATTTACTGGTACTGACAAATGACATAATTTCTGGCTTGAAAGAAGTATCAATAGAAGTTGCATTTTTAGAAATACTTATATTTAAAAAGTATTTTGTATTTGATATTGTTGATGAAACATTTGGCATATTGTTTTCCTCATAGAGGCTGTAGGATATTCTCTTAGAGTTGATGAATTGGTGTGTGTTATTAAATTAAAATTTAATATTCTTTGACAAAAATAAAAGCTGGCATTAAATAACTTTATTGCAATGCTTACTAATTTATTCAGTCCTTTGAGGTGGATATTGAGTGAAAGGCTCCTATTAAAGATTAGAAATGCAGTACTACAGCAGTCTTGGTTCAGTCAGTAATAATGTTGCAAAACAGAACATTATTTTTTAATTATAGCATCCGCTTTATGATACAACTACAGGCCAACATTCAGCTTTGGGTGGGCTTCTTTAACTGCATTGTTCCATACATTTGTCCTTTCTTGTGGAGTTTTCAAATGTATGGACAATGAGCACAGGAAGAAACTTGGGCCCACCCCTGAGCAGAGCTGAGCCTGTCCCAGGGTGTTTCCCAATGCCCTTGCTTGGTTCCTTCTCTGCAGTTTTTGTCTTCCACTTTGCCCAGCACTTGGGTGAATGTTCAGCACCCCACACACTTGATTGGTACAGAAATTTAACTGCCAGCCACTTTTAATCTGTCAAAAAAATACTCTATAAATAATATATTCTTCTTTTTAAGATCATTATTTTTTGACTTCTTCAGCTAATGAGCTTGTGATCCTGCTAACATTCCCAGCTGTAATTAGACAGCAGCAGTACTTCAGACAAATTGCAAAATCCAGTGTCCCTGAAAAGCCAGGACTTGGAGACCAATATTTGAATATTAAAAATTAGAGTGTGTTTTCAGTATTCATGTGTCTAGGCTTCTATTCTGTTTGCAAAATGCAGTACCTTAATTACAGATTGTTGTGAAGTTTGATGTTTGAAAAACTCAAATGCAGCAACAACAACCATCAAAGAAAATCTTAGGGAGGAATAATTATATATATATAAAGGGGTTTGAATGAGATGCAGTAAATAGGATATACCTGTTGAGAAACTGAGATGAAATGAATTGTATAGGTCATTATTCAAGTTTCGTTGCACTGAAAGAAAGTGGTGAGAGGAAAACAGAATATGAATTGTATAATTATAAAGTGGTTTTTTATACAGAAAAGCAAAATAGGTCTGGATGAGCATTTCTAATTATGAGAGTTTCTAATTTTTCACATTTTAATGTAGGAGTTTTTATGCTAAGCAGGATGGCACAGCTCTTAGTAAATGGGAAAAGTTGTTTAATAAATATGCAGCATTGCTTTTACTTCAATTAAAAAGATATGCTACAAAAATACTTTGATTTTAAAGGTTCTGAATGGTTGCCATTGTGGAACATTAAGAAGAGAGCTGCTGGTTTGTAATTTTTCCAAAGCTTTGCTAAATAGTTTTCTTTGCCAAGAGTATAATGTTACAGCTTTGAGAAGCTGTTTACTAATTGGCTGCAGAGGAGGCAGTGCCTTCCAACCTAGACCAGAAATAGTTTATGGGTAAGTCAGAAGAAGAATGGCTGTCTTAAATTCCTTTGTTCAGCAAGGACTGCAGATGAGTAATGTCTGAACCTGTGCATTTCACTTTGAGTTTTTTCTTCAAGCTGAGTCACATCTTGACCTATTTGGCTTGATAACATGTACTTGCACTGTAAGTGTCTGAAAGTTTAATCTAATTTCCCCAGTCTTTCAGCAGGGTAAGGATGCTGACAGCTCACAGTCTGTTTCAGCATCACGTTTGCAGGAGGGTGAGCAGATCCAGCAGCAAAGCAGAAAATCAGTTCTGTGCCTTCTTGTGATACCTGGGTTTAGGCAATAGTTGCACTGGGTTGTTTCCCTCCCCCTGTGCCCCCATGCCCAAAAAATGAGTTTGTTAGGTACAAAATCTAATCAGATCACAGGTAAACCAGGGTTGTTGTACACCAGTAGTTTGTGCTCAGCCCATCCTCACCCATGAGTTGGGTGGGCTTTATGGCTTTTGCAGCCCTCTGATATTTTTGCTTTCCCATTTGTATTTCCATTGCCTGTGCCTGTTTGCATGGCTGTGTGACAGGGCAGACCAAGGAGCTGCTCTGGCTCCTGGGAGGAAGGAGCCCTTGGAAGAGCTTTGTTTGCACAGCAAACAGCAATGGCATTTCCACAGCAGAAAAGGCAGCTTTAGATGCACATCAGACTGGATCCTTAGAGTGATGTTTTCTTCCAGCCTTTTAGAAACCTTCTCAGAAGGCTACACCATTTCTGACATGATTCAATAAAAACATCCTTGTCCTAGAGGATTTTACCCTTACAAATAGTTTTTTCTCTCTGTAAATTTTCTGTATTTCTATCAATTCATGCAGAGCAAATATGTTCTCCTCCCAAAGCTCCCTTTTGTTTTGTAGCTGCTCTTTGTAAATGGCACAGATCCCATCCATGCTCTTTCCACAGTGCTGTGATCAGTGTTCCAGCTGTTCTGGAATTGGCATTTGCAAAAAAAGACTGTAGAGAATAGATTGACATGCAACTATTTTTTTAATTAAGCAAGTGTACATTCATTCTAAATGTATAGAATTGTAATGTCTGCAATATAATTTTTAACATGGATGTGTGTGGGAGCTGGAAGTTACAAACTTTCAGACATGATGGAAAGCAACTGGTTAACTCCTCAGAAGTACCTTTGAGCTGGGATGTTGGAGGAGAGTTCAAATGTGTTATCCAGCTGAATAATACAGTTGCTCAAGAATGCTGCTAGCACAGCTGTTTCCTTTTAATTTTTTTTTTCCTCATATAATGCGAAAAATGTTGAGCACATTTTGATTTTCACCATTTGAAAAATTGTATTTTAAAGAGTATAAAGCCTGCCAATTAATGCTTAAGAGTTTAGTATTTCTAGAGTTTGCTTTATTCTGAAAGATGTATTCTGTGTTTGGGAGGCTGGTTGTTGGGAATCCTGTGCTTGCTGCCTTGTCACATTCCAGGCAGCTTTGTGGCTAACAGTAGTTTCAGGAACAATCATATGAGGTTAGACAAAAAGTCCATCAAACAGATACCCCATCTCTTAAAATTCCCTAGAAAAGAGCTTGAAAGCACAGCAAGGATATGTGGTGAGAGTGGCTTTTCCCCTGCCTCTGCCATAGTTCCTAGTGGTCTGTAGCTCAGTATTTCTAGCTAGAAATTGTATTTTGTTAATGTTGGATTGATTTTTGTTCTCCTTTGATTTGAGCTTTTTGTTGTGAATTTGTCCACCAGAAAATACTTGATCATACTCAATTGAAGGATATTGTACTAACTTCCTGGTATTTGGTGGTTTAATTATCTAAGAATTGCCTTCATTTTTATGCATAACAAAACTTCCAGTCAAAATTGAGAAGTTTTACACTGTGATGTTTTACTCTGCTTTAATTTGATTTTTTTTTAAATTTTTCTCCTTGCTACTGGAAGATTAAGAATTTCTGGGGGGAGAGGGAAGTTTCAATACTCACTCATATGTGAGGAGTTAAAGTTCCATTTCAGTTTCCTGACTCTGCACAGTGCAGCACACTTACACTTTTCAGCATTCTCGCATGGACACATGACTTGTCAAAGATGTACTTTTTAAACTGAAGGAACCTTTAGCAGTAGAAATGTTGGCTGTGCAGAGTTCTGGGCCAGCTGTTTTAAAGCTGCTTCTTCCCTTTCTTTCAGACTAAGAGTAACGATGACCTCTTAGCAGGGATGGCTGGTGGTGGTGGAGTGACCATGACCAACGGTGTCAAGGCCAAGAAGAACTCTTGTGTATCATCAACAGCACCTTCAGCTCCAGGGACAGCCATGAGCACTCTAGAAAACAAACCCAAAACCATTGCAGGTAAATGGATACATTGATTCATAAAGGTGGAAGTTGGGGGCTTTTTATTTTCTTTTCATGTATTGAGGATTCAGGCTGCTTACTGAGGTGCCCAGTAACACCATGATCAAATCACACACTTTCTAAACTCTTTTCCTGTTTTTAATAATGTAATTGCTTTTTTGGAGGGTGTTCCTTTTAGTTTTTTCAGTACTGACTATGCAACTATTAAACGAGATGAAATAATATAATTAATTTAGAGAATCACAGATTTTTCTAAAATTGTCTGTTTAAAGAACCCATGACACAAGCACTAAATCTCTAAGATGAGTTGTTACAATGAACATTTTGAATGTTTTGTATTGCTTTACAGAAATAAAGTAAGAGAGCTTTCAGAAACTGTTGAGAAAAATGAAATCATTTAGTGTGTTATTGATATGGATTGAAATAGGTCTTGCCTTCTATAGCTGTGTTTTGGATTCAGTAATGCTTGCTAAGCTGTAAACCATCTGGAAATAAAGGAGTAATGATCTATCTTTATTTTTATGCAATAAGATGAAAAATACGGAAAACAGAAAGCACTGGATGTTGGGTTAATGCTTACTTCCAATATTTTGTATGAAATGTATTTAGCTTGTGTGCTAATAATAAAAGTGTGCTTCAGACAATCAGCCACTGTGCTGCTGATACAGAGCACACAGCCTGCTGTGACAGATACAGTATTTTAAATCCATGTTCCTAACTTCCCACAAACACACAGGTACAAGTTCCACAGCTAAACGTAGCACTTCCTCTGGAAACAAAGAGTCCAGCTCCTCCAGGGAGAGGATCCGGGAGCGCTCCCGGCTGAGCCAGAGCAAGAAGCTGCCCCTGGCAGGGCAGGGCCCCGGCGACGCCGGGCTGGCCAAGCGCTCCCGCGGCCGCGCCAACCCCGACTGCGACGTCCGCATGAGCAAGTCCAAGTCAGACAATCAGATCAGCGACAGAGCTGCGCTGGAAGCGAAGGTGAACGATCTGCTGACGTTAGCAAAAACTAAAGATGTGGAGATCTTGCATCTGAGAAATGAATTGAGGGACATGCGTGCTCAGCTGGGACTCAACGAAGATCATCTTGAGGGGGATGAGAAATCCGAAGAGAAAGAAGCCATTGTTGTCCATCAGCCAACTGATGTAGAGTCTACGCTGCTCCAGTTACAGGAACAAAACACTGCCATCAGAGAAGAGCTCAACCAGCTGAAGAATGAGAATCGAATGCTAAAAGACAGACTAAATGCTTTGGGCTTTTCTTTGGAACAAAGGCTGGACAACTCTGAAAAGCTCTTTGGCTATCAGTCTTTGAGTCCAGAGATTACAGCTGGCAACCACAGCGATGGTGGGGGCACTCTGACATCTTCAGTGGAAGGTTCTGCTCCTGGATCGATGGAAGACTTGTTAAGTCAGGATGAAAACACTCTCATGGATAACCAACACAGTAATTCCATGGATAATTTAGACAGTGAGTGCAGTGAAGTTTATCAGCCACTGACATCAAGCGATGATGCCTTAGATGCTCCATCATCCTCAGAATCTGAAGGAGTACCAAGCATAGAAAGGTCTAGGAAGGGAAGCAGTGGCAATGCAAGTGAGGTGTCCGTAGCCTGTCTGACAGAACGGATACATCAGATGGAGGAGAACCAACACAGTACAGCTGAGGAGCTCCAGGCCACGCTTCAAGAGCTTGCAGATCTGCAACAAATAACACAAGAGCTGAACAGCGAGAATGAAAGACTTGGCGAGGAGAAGGTAATCCTGATGGAGTCTTTGTGCCAGCAGAGTGACAAGCTGGAGCACTTCAGCCGTCAGATCGAGTATTTCCGCTCCCTCCTGGACGAGCACCACATCTCCTACGTGATTGACGAGGACATGAAGAGCGGGCGCTACATGGAGCTGGAGCAGCGCTACATGGAGCTGGCGGAGAACGCGCGCTTCGAGCGGGAGCAGCTGCTGGGCGTTCAGCAGCACCTCAGCAACACGCTGAAAATGGCAGAGCAAGACAACAAGGAGGCCCAAGAGATGATAGGGGCGTTGAAAGAGAGGAATCACCACATGGAACGGATCATCGAGTCAGAGCAGAAAAGCAAAACGGCTCTGGCATCCACCTTGGAGGAGTACAAAGCCACAGTAGCCAGTGACCAGATTGAGATGAACAGGCTGAAAGCTCAGCTGGAGCACGAAAAGCAGAGAGTGGCCGAGCTGTATTCCATACACAACTCTGGAGATAAATCAGATATACAAGACCTGCTGGAGAGTGTCAGGCTGGATAAGGAGAAAGCAGAGAGCTTGGCCAGTGGTCTGCAGGAGGAGCTGGCACACACCCGCAACGATGCCAATCGACTGCAAGATGCCATTGCTAAGGTAGTGCCCAAAATGCCATTGCATCCTAACATCCCATCACACAACGGCCTGTTGGCCTCTGTAGTTCTTTCAGAAGTAAAAGATTAATTATGAGCTTAATTGGATTGCAGTAGTGTTAGGACTGAGTACTTTCTCTTGACTTTTGTTATGAAAATGATGTCAGCATTTGAGAAAATTATATAGATACACTGAGCTGCAGTATGACTCTAGTGTTACTTTTTAAACTCCACAAGTTACTTCAGTGTTCAAACTTAAACAGTATTCAAGATACTCTACTATTAGTGCTTAAATTGCACACCTTCTGCAAGACTTTATGTCCTGATTAGGTTCTGGATCAAAACTATTCCCAGTTCTGTTTTGACCCAAATATTTCTAATTTATGAAGTAGCTATGTGTAGTAAAAGTATTTACCATAATTTCATATAAAAGCAAGAATCATACAATTTATTTAGTAGCTTTACATGTGCATTTAAAGGTGTATCTTCCTGAAGAGACAATTTATACCAAATTTAATATGTGAACTATATATTAGCTGCAAAATAACATGTTAGTCATGATCACAAGCCTGTTAGAATCAACCTTAATTTGAGGTGAAAAACATACTAAGATGATTTTAATAATTAATGTTGGAGAGTACTATTAAAATGAAAACCACTGAAGCAGATGACTTAAGAGCAGGGTATTCTGTCTGGTAAACTTGGTGCCTGCCAGCATTGCCCACCCTAAACCACAACCTATTTTCTCTTTTCTCTTGTTTTTCTGACACCTATGCATATATACGTACATACATACATACATATATATGTTATATATACATATATATATATAGTTATAGATATAGTTATATATATAAATTTATATTTTAACCCTGTTGGGTTAATTATCTGTTCCTGTGCCACTGATCCCAGCCTGTTACTTATGTTACATTTTTGTGAGGCAGGATAAAAAAGCCTCTCCCCTGCTCCTGAACAAGAGAAGTCAACCACTTCTTCCCTTCCCTGTTTTGGGGTTTTTTTTCAAATTAATTGTTTTTCAGACTCCTCTGAGAACTGCTTCAGCTCACTAAAACACCTCACACACAAATGTCACGCTTGCTTAAGGAAATCACTCATCACACAGGTCCAGCAAGCATTAAATTGATGCACAAGAGACTAGGCTTTTTTATTTTGGCAAGAGAAAGGAAGGGTAAAGAGTTTTAACATTTTCCCTCCACCCTGTCCCTTTTCCATGGCAGCTGGATGTTAAATTGGATCAGCTGCTCTTGAAACCTCAGCCTTGGTACAATGATGTTGCTTTACCTGTATGCTCTGAGAGTAGCTGGGAATGCTCCTTTATCCAGCCTGGGAATAAAAACAGTTTAACTTTGACCTAGGAAAAGAGCTGCACTAGAACAGTGTATAGTCAAAACTTTACATTTCTCCTGTATTTTCCTCTTTGCAGAAATAGATTGTAAGTGTGGTAGTTACAAAACAAAAAGTATGTTAAAATGCCACTGAGATTTATTCTTCTTTAGGTGGAAGATGAATACAGAGTGTTCCAAGAAGAAGCCAAGAAACAAATTGAGGATCTCAATGTGACTCTAGAAAAGCTTCGGACAGAGCTGGATGAAAAGGAGACTGAGAGGAGTGACATGAAGGAAACCATCTTTGAGCTGGAGGATGAAGTGGAGCAGCACCGTGCTGTGAAGCTGCATGACAATCTCATCATATCTGATTTGGAGAGTAAGTGTTATGCATTTCTCTTGAGAGAAAGGATAAGTTAAGGGAAGCTCAAGTAGAACACTGGAATATTGAAAATATTTTCACTTGTCTTTTGTATGTCTGAATTCAAGTCACACTGGGTTGTGCAGAATCCTTACACACTAGGGGAAGAAAAGAATCAAGTTGGCTTAGCTTTTCCAAACCCACTTAGTAGCTGGTGTGGGAATAAAACCTATGAATAGAGAACAAATGTGAAATCTGCTAATACTATTTTCAAGTTGTTCTTCAAAGTAGAAAACATGTGGTAGAAAACATGTTTACTGTGTACCTGTCTAGCTCTCTGTGCCTTATTCCCTCTCTGATCCTGGAGACCTGCTCAGACATTCCTGCCACGGGCTGGAATTCTGCAATTAGTCACCATCTAATTAAGAACACGGGCAAGTCTACCCTGGCAAGCTGCATTTGCACAGTGCTGCTTAGAGGATTTAAATATCTGTTAGTCTTCCATGTCATTCAAAGATGAAACAAGATAGCAAAAAAACCAAAGCATGATTCCTTCTAACGACAAGGGAAATATTCATAGAAAGGGTTTTTAATTGCTCTGCTATCAAGAAAAGTTGGTGTCTTAAGCAAACTAAATTGTTTATTCAAGCTCAGTATCTTCAGACATGGCTGTGAGTGTTGTTTCCCTAAGCAATCCTTCTTTATCTTGAAAGGCAACCACTGCTTCTCTTTACAAAATAGTTGTAAGTCTTTATTCTGAATTTTTTTCCCTTTCTGTGCTAAAAGACAGTCATTTTTGAGCAAAAACTCAAAAAGTTTGAACAGTTTTCTACTTGTTTTGTTTTGTCCATTAACTGAAATACACTCATGCAGGGAGCAGCGCTGTAGTCAAGTAGATATTTGGGTATCTGCCCAGCAATACCTCATTACAAGGCAGCTCTGATTTTTAGATGCTTCTGCTTTGTGGGTACAAACCAGCTGTCAGGTATTTAATTTCGACTGGTGAAAATTCAGGCAGACAAACCTCTGCCAGGGGAAAAATTCTCAACAAAAATTGCAAAAGTCTTTGTTATTCATTGGTCTTGGAAAATTCATGTGGACCAGCCAATGTCCTGACGTGATCCTTAGGATGAAGCAAGCTGTTGTTTGAGTTCTGTGCTGGAAGGAGAGTGGCATCTAGTGGCAGTAAGAGAGGATGGCACACGAGGAATTCTATAAACTTTAAAAAGTGCTTTTTTTTCTGACAACTTGAAAACGTTGATTTTAGGTTCATAGTTAAACCTCTCACAGGAGTTTTTTTTTGGTAGTCTCTAAGTACTGACAGCATAGAACATGGTGAAAAATCTGAGATTTACAGGTAGTACAAACAGCATTTAAGAGATAGAATTGTAAACACAAAATGGGAAATTATAACTTAAAGATTTTATTAAAGACAGACTTTACACTTGGGAGGAAGATGCCTCATAGATGAGGTGGGGAGTGTTCATTCCATTTAATGATTAATCAACACAAATAGTAGTGTAGAAATGGGAAACACTCCAAGCACTTAGTGCATGCTTCACTGTGGGCTTTTCAAACACCAAGAAGAGGCACGAGAAACCTCCAGTGGGACATTTTTCACATTAATCTGGGTACTGAACTGTCACATTGGAGCTGTTAATATGTCTGCCTGCAGAAACAGGGATCTCTGATGTGTGCAGCAGGATGCAGATTGCATTGATGAAAAGCACACAGCATCTTCCTGCCGTGCATCCAGATGTGCTGAGAGCTGCAGTCAGTGCAGCTGAGCTCTTCCTGCTGGGATGAGGAGTTTTAAGCACAGGGCTAAAAAGGCCTCACTGGAGGGGAAACCCAGTGAGGAGCAGCTGAGGGCACCTGGTTTGTGCAGCCTGGAGGAGACTGAGGAGTGACCTCACTGTGGTCTTCAATCCCTGCTCTCTGTGACTCTGACAGGATTTGGGGAAATGGCTGCAGCTAAGTCAGGGGAGGTTTGGGTTGGATAGCAGAAAGTTCTTCACCCAGAGGGTGGTTGGGCACTGGAACAGGATCCCCAGGGTGGCCCCAAGGCTGGCAGGGCTCAGGGAGCGTTTGGACAATGCTCTCAGGCACAGGGTGGGAATGTTGGGGTGCAGAGCCAGGACTGGGACTCGATAATCCTGACAGATCCCTTCCAACTGAGGATATTCCATGATTCTATTTTATGTAAAAAGCCTAAGAAATACTAAAATATTCAGTGTTTAATATCCTCCATGCTGTGCTGAGCTGAAACATCAGTGGGGAAGGCTGACACTGCACTAGATGGCGTGTTCCCTCTGGGTTTCACTCCTGACTCCCAAAAACTTGCAGCACTCAGGTAGCCCAGCTGTCACATGAGTCATCTGCAGTAACTAAGTGGGAAACAGAAACCTGTTATTTTCCCAAGCAGTTAATAAGAGTTTGTGGGGAATTTTTTCCCAGAAAAGTTTGACTCCTGATGTGCAGAAAATATGTATTTGTAGGTTAGTTTACCACTTCTGAAAGGTTTCTTCTGAAGCACAAAAATAATCATTGCTTGTTCTCTTAGCACAGGTGCACATAGGTTCTCCTAGTCTGTAACTAAAAGTCAGTAAATTTTTAGGACAAGTGTAGGTGAGCTAGAAGGTGGATATTTTTAATGTTCAATGAATAGTTCTTTTATGGAGCTGACAGTGTTAGTTTTAATTCTGCTATATTTCATTTGAAAAGGATCTTGACAGCAGTTATGAAATGAAATGTTTGCTTTACCATATTTAGGCCTTTTCTAACAAAGTGCTGGAAAAGTCAATAGGATGTTCATTTTTTGTGCCTTTTTAAACATTTTTAGTTTTGTGACTAATGGCAGACCCTTAAAAAGTCACCTTTCTTGCTGTGTAGATATATTGTCTGACATGTTGAGCTGAAAAGCAAGATTGGTCTGCAAACTGCCTGAGCTTTGGTATTTGTGCCCAGTGCCTGTTCCTCACAGAAGGAAGCTGTAAAAGCCATTTTAGATAGAAATGGCTATCCCAACACAACACAAATACTCTGTGTATTTATGGGATAGCCATTTCTGTGCTAAAGAACCAAAATGCTGTCCCAGTGTAAGGCATGCCTGTGAAACCAGTACAAAAACTGTGAGAGTGTCCATTGTGGAACTGCCTGTGTCAGAATTACTTAATTTAGTGTCCCTTCCCAGGAATTGTCATGTCATTTTTCCTGAAACTACTGCACATGGATATTGTTAATATTTTTTTCCCCAGAAACGATTGAAATTATACAATTGAATGTTAATACTCATTTTTATTTGATAGTGATAAATTCTAACTGCCAGTTATAATATAATTAGTAAAAATTGCAGATACAGAACATCGTGATACCTTTTCTCTGGTAGCCTTACAAAACTTTTCCTCCCACCCCCAGCTGTTAAGGTTTTCTTTACCTTTTGTATCTGCATGTCCCATAATCTTTTTTTTTCTGCCTCTTAGGCAGAGGCAAGGCCTTGTCAAACTGTGGCTTAAATCAATATAATTTTCTGAAATGTAGATGTAATTGCATCCTGCAGTCAAACACGAGTTTGCTGATTTGCCATTTTTAATTATCCTGTTCATTCTTCAGAAGAGTATCCTTGTTCTTCATTTACCCCAACATGTAGTTACTTTTTCTTTTATCTCAGTCTCCTGTGTTGTCTGTGATCATTGAAGGAGGAGACTGGATAAAGGTGGAAGTACCTGTCCTGCCACGCTGAAAATCCAGGCAGTGGAGCAGGAAAGGGTTTGTGTGTTAGAGAAGAATGTGGGGTTTGAGGGATGCAGAAAGGAAAGGTGCCACCTGGCAGCCTCTACCTCTTTTCACTACTTGAATTTTCAGGCTATTGTTGGTGGAAGAGGTGAAATCATAAAAATTAGTCATAATTTCTCACTGCATTTCAAATTCAGTTGCAGTTTGTGGGGGGTATTTTGAGTCTGCTTGGTTGGCTGGGGAGGAGACAGAGCACTGTTTCCAACAACTGCTCTGTATTATTTATGTACCTGCAGAATATCCAGACCATTGTGTTTTACTTCAAAGCATAAATACACTAAAATTTAATGGTGCGTTTCATAACTCACAGGAGCTCAGAACAATGGCACTACACGAGCTTTAACTGGGTGCATTTGTGGTTTCTGGTTTGTGGTTATTTTTAGGTACCTTGCTTTTAGTAATACTGCAAATTTTGTTTTTAAAAACATTTTTTCTTTGTACTGTTTTAAAAATGAAAATGAACATCGACTTGATTTGTTCCAAAATGTATTTAAAGGAAAAGGTGGGGGGAGCAAGTTTTAGAACTTTGGCCTAAAGTTGGCCTCCTAGTTCTGAATTTAGCTCAAACAAGTTGTGTATCAAGAGACAAGCTAAAAATTGGAGGGCTTTGCTTAAGTATCATGGTAGCATGAGATTTGAGTGGCCCACCCTGTGTTAGGCTTATCTTCAAAGCTTAAAGATCAGCTGGGTGCAGCTTAAAATGGGCAGTTTTACAAGGAGGAGATAAATACAGAATATCTGTCAATTTTTTATGTTCCAAGTTTGAAAGGTTATTGTGGTTTCATTTTTACAATTCTTGTAAAGAAATTAACTTTAAAAGTCCCCGTACCTGGGGCTGTTGAGGAAGGTTTTGTGTATTGAACAGCCTAAATGTCATGTTGTAAGAAAGAGCATTGCTAATATACAGGAAAATATTTTTTGAGATAATGAACCTGAACAAAAATGTGTATTTAGTCAGTTTCTCCATCATTTTAACAGTTTTTACAGTCACACAATGCTACAGAAATAAAGCATCCTAGAATGCAAGGACCAGTGAAGTGACACACTGATTAGAAATTTATGCTGCTTCATTAGTTGCTTAGTTTTTAGAATGGAGTAATCAATCACTTGGTGCTTGTGTATTGAATAAAGTCACAAATGAGGAATAATTGCAGCAGCCAGTCTGTCAGACGCCACACTCTGCTGCTGGCCAGGCTGGGCACCCTGTGTGGCTGCTGACACATTTAGGGACCCTCTCTCTCACAGACTGCTTGGCTTTTTGCTGTAAATAGAGTTTGCTTTGACCTCAAGTAGCAGCTTGATAGACAAGAATGTCAGATTCTTGGGGACACGGGTTCAGTTTTATCCAGGGCTGTGGGTGTTGTGTCAGCTGCTTGGTGGCAGGAATTAAACGGAATCCAAAGGCTTCCTGTGGCTGCAGTCTGTGTTTGAGGAGGGGAAACCCCCAGACATGCATGTTTTTAGGATCCTTTCATGTTAAATTGCCTGCCTTGTTTACTTGCTCTTTGCTATTGCTTTGTCATTTTAGTATTGTGATTTGGGATTTGTATAAGGAGTGAGTTTGCTCATGCTGCTCCCCTTGCCAGTCTCAGAGGAGTGTGTGCCTATTAACACCCTCTGGCAAATGATTCCCTCTCATACCATGTTTCTTCAGATGTCTTTGGTTATAAAAATATCTGAGTAAGTCTTCAAAAACATTTGCAGGTCTTTTCAGTTATTCATTTTCAAGTAAATAAATCCCTGACGAAGATCTTACAGGGAATTTAACTTTTTTTCCAGATACAGTTAAAAAACTTCAGGATCAAAAGCATGACATGGAAAGAGAGATCAAGAATCTTCACAGGAGACTCCGGGTAGGTAAAAACCAAAAAAAGTCAATAAATTGTCAGCTTACAATGTCTTCAGACCAGCTTATGAAATTGTGAAAAGATAATATCATTAGATACAATGCCAATAAAATAATTGTTTCTGAAAGACAGGCATCATGGGAATATATTTACTAACCTACAAACACTAAATAATGTTAAAAATTTCTCAGTGTCACAAAGATATGATGTTGGGCTTAGGAGAAAATGTTCCCTGTGTATTTTGATGTGGAGTGTAATATTAAATATTTTTCTCCTCCACTTTGAACATTTTGTCTCCAGAAAAGAAATTCATGACTTCCAAAGTAATTTCCAGCAAAACCTCTTCAATTTATCTTGTGAGTTAGGTTCTGCCTAACACCGAACAAGTGCCCCTGTCGTTCCTGTAAATAGTTTCCTTTAACAGCATAGGAAAAGTATGAATAATGAAGATAACTTTTATTTTGAACTTGCACGTTGGTGCTTGCAGGAGGAGTCGGCAGAGTGGCGGCAGTTCCAGGCAGACCTGCAGACTGCAGTGGTCATTGCCAACGACATCAAGTCGGAGGCGCAGGAGGAGATCGGGGACCTGAAGCGCCGATTGCACGAGGCGCAGGAGAAGAACGAGAAACTCAGCAAGGAGCTGGAGGAGATCAAGTCTCGCAAGTATGCAGATAACAACAGGGACAGGTGCTCTATCTGCAGGGAAAGGGCACTTTGGAATCCAGTTTCTCCAGAAGTTTGTAAATCCTCTCCCTGTGGGGATCTGTATTTCAGCAAGCTGCTTTGTGCTGCTGTGTTATCATCGTATCACAGGGGTTCCATGCTGTTGTCTCCTGTCACAAAAGTTTCACACTTTCTTGGTGTTTCTCGTGGGCAGCTCCTCAGAGCACTGGCTCTTTCTTCTTCACAAAGTCACCAACTGACTCCAGTTCTCACCAACCACTCCACTCTTTTATGGCATCTTCTCATTGCTTACAGCTGTGGCCTGGTAAAGTCAGGCTGTCCCTAATCTTTGATAATTGGCCCACTGCAACTCCTTAGGGGTAAGATTGCTTTCTACACTATCTTTATTTTCTTATCTTCTATTCCCCTACAGCTTTCAGCATTTTACAACAGCAATATTTGTTTCTTTATACTGTATACTTAACCCACCCAGGGTTTTACAAAACTAAGTTGGAGTGGAGGATTTTTCCAGTTAAACTGCTTAAAATTATTTAGCTTCCCACAGTGTGAAAAACAAGCAGTGTTAGCTTTCCTGTACCATCATTAATATTTCTTTATTAGCAATCAAGTCTTTTGGTGTGGTTAAAAACACAGCTGGGTTTTACCTGAGAAGAAACCTTCATCTAGTTCTGCATGTTACTTATTCTATTTTCTTTCCACTGATAATTAGAGGTGCTTTCTATATAAAAACAAAAATAATCCAAATTGTGGCTTGAATTAGGTGCTCCAGATATTTAGAAGCTGAGTTATGTCTTTCAGAAGTAATAAAGTCCTCAAATAGGAACATCTTGGACAGCACCATTTGAATCCTTTAGGGGTCAGATCTGTATATGGTTTACAGTAATGATGTTTGTGATGTGTGTGTATATAAAACAATTGTTTTCTGCATGGATGGGAATTTGGTGAGATTTACATTACATTTAGCCCAGCATCTAGGAGGATAGGAGATCCTTTCACAGGCTGTGAAATTTGGAGAAAAGCTAATGCTACCTAAAAATGTACACCAGGAACATATTCTTACATCCTTAGTATTAAATTGTATTCCATTTATTCAGGTGGAAAAAAATTCTCCCCTCTGAGATGATTGTTTTCATGTGGAATGATGAAATCCTTAAGTCTCAATTTTTTTCCATCCGTGTGTGTGAGTAGGAGTGGGAATTAAGCTTTATATCAAATATTGATTTGATAGACTTTTTTTACCAGATGCTGAACTCTGTTGCTGACAGGTAGTAAGAAATTACAGTGAAAATTCGAGTTGATAACCCATTTCTGAATTACAGTGGAAAGAAAGTTAGGCTAATGTAATGACCCATTTGGACCATAGATTTTCATTCAGCTTCAATTTGTGTTGATTTTTTTAAGCCTTTGCATGTTAAAATGTGTTTTGAATGCCCTAAACGAGCAGCATGTTGACTCCAGGCAGGAAGAAGAGCGTGGCCGGGTGTACAATTACATGAACGCGGTGGAGAGGGACCTGGCAGCTCTGAGACAAGGCATGGGCCTGAGCCGCCGATCCTCCACCTCCTCGGAGCCCACGCCCACTGTGAAAACGCTCATCAAGTCCTTCGACAGCGCCTCCTCCCAAGGTGGGTCCTGCAGAGCCCAGGCTGCCTCTGCCCCTCTGATGGCTCCCAGCCAGGCTGCTTCACCCTGTCCTGGCTGAACCAACCACCCCAACTGCACTGCAGTAAATGAGCCT